CGGAGTCAAACCTCTCTTGGGACATCTGCGTCTTATCTCCGCCGTACAGGGCTTACCTAGTGCGTCTTATCTCTCCGTGTGGTTGACAGGTTATTGCATGAGACGGGGTTCATTTAGTGCGCACTCTCAGATAGTCGGGTTCAAACCTCTCTTGGGACATCTACTCATCGCACAGGACTTGCCTAGTGCGTCTTACCTCTCCGTGTGGTTGACGGGTTATTGCGCGGGGCCGTGTTTACCCAGTGTACATTCTCGGATAGGTTGACGGGTTATTGCATAAGACATGGTTTACCCGTTGCACATTCTCAGATAGCGACTGTGGGTTCTCTTATCAACAAAAATCAAGACTTACAATAGTTTCAGAAAATTAACCATAGCAAATCTAGGCCCTTCATTTTCTTTTCATAATTTGAAGACTACTTTGAAGGATACAATATATTGTACTTTCAAGTTTCAAGAAAGTTAATGAAGTAATCATAGAAGCGTTTCATTTAAAAAAGCCGTGAGATTTGTGCTGCCCAATTTTCCTGAAATTTCATTAGAGAATCACTATACAATAATTATTCGCAAACGTTACCCAAAAACACACAAAACCTTCTCTTTACTTTCAAATAAACCTTAATTGTGTAATGCATTTCTGGATTTTTCACTTCTGTACAGTTTTATTTGTACTGATTATTTTTTTTTTTTAAAAAAATCTGAGACATGTTTTTGCTTCTGCAAGTAGTGTTCCATGCATGCATATGAGAACATGATTAATCCTTGGTTTAGAATAATGTGTTGAAGATTTGGACGTACAAATGCTGTCTCTTACATGTATGCATCTGCTGTATTAAATTTAAATGGGGCCTGCAGCTCAAATTCCAAAAGAACTAAGGAAGCTGCCTTAGTAGTAATTCTTTTTTGGTGGGTCAGAAGGTAGCTTGGCCATTTACCTATTTGTACAATGAAAGTGAGCATAAAGATTACCACTTTCTTCTCGGAGGAACAAACCAACTAATTGCCAACTCCTACTTACACTTTCCCCTCCAAAAAAAAAAAAATTAATTTAAAGGAATTTTGAACTTTGAAACTAGTTATCGCGTGGACTAAAGATTAATTTACTCCTTCAATTAATTGTTTCACCGTCCAATTGGTTGATGAAAATCTTGGATGTGGGACTTGTAGGCAAAATAAAAGAAATTACGTACATATAGTCTCACATCCAATGCTATACCTTTTAATAAAATGGAAATTGAAATTTGTTCCAAAAGAAGAAGTTAAAAAAATGTTTTCTTGTATATTTGGTATTCATATCCTGCGCGGTGCATTAAGAGGGATGCATATTTGATGATTTGTTCCATCAAATATGACAAGGTATACAAGGTTCTTATGGTACACTTTGCATATATATTATGTAGCACGTGTTCTCTCTTTAAAAGCATAGTTATTATGCCTAACCGGTAGGGAACCCGACAAAGGGATAACTTCTGTGGGTTACTCGTTCAATTAATGAATCACTGATTGAATTGAAAGATTTTAATTTAATAATTATAAATATAAAATAGTAATTTTAATGTACATATATAAAATATCTAGTAAAGTGCTTTTAGATACTAATTATCGTACTTAAAAAATATATAATGTACATATAAATGTTAATAGAAGACTTAAGGTCAATTTATCGTACTTTTACATAAATAAATAATATAGTCAAATATAAAACAAAATTGTGTCACTTATTTTCAAAGATATAGCATCATTTTTTTTATTATTTTATTTTTATTTAAAAGTAAAATAATTTTCTAACTACTCAAACATTGTCAGTTTGAAAGTTAAAAAAAATAATTGTATAAATTAAAAAGTAAACAATTTTATTTAAAAAAACATTTTAGTTATCAAATAAAAACTAAGCAAGTGACAAAATCTTGTGTACATTTGAATGAAAATCCAATGTACAAATCTCATCAAAGCATGTATACACTTTGTTTCAAATAAAAGACTCGCAATTGAAAAAAAAAGGGGGAGGGGTCAATTAGAAAATCGGACGGCCGGTTCTCATTTGAACCAGTAAGTCCAATGGGTTTGACCGGATCAACTTTTTATCCAATCAAACTAAAGACCTGACTTGACCTGATATTCAAATCATCGGATTGATTGATTCAATCGCTGGATTGGATCGGATTTAATAACCATGTTTAAAAGTACTCATTATTGAACAAAATTAGGTTTTCATTATCACTATTTCTTCCTCACATCTTAGTTAGACCAATTGCGATTTCTGTGTGCAAAAAAAAAAAAAAAAACCTTTAATCATGTCAAGAGGAAAAGTACTATTTTAATCTTTTTATTTCCTTCATTATAGACGGGCTGATTCCACCACCAAAGATTGGGCCTGGTTGAAAATTCTAAACCCACAATAAAGAGGGTTAGTTGAGTATTTGACCGTCTGTTAAATGGGAGGCTGTTGGGGGGACCCAAGTCTATCCAGAGAAAAGATGGCCAGCAATATATATGGGTCGTGTCGTGGGGGGTGACTCCAAATTTGAGGCACTGGAAAAAGTTGTAAATAAAGTTACAAAATCAAAGGTAACATTTTTCCATGATGCTCTTGGTCTCACACGCACATTTATACAGTTAAAAAGGCATTTAATCCTTTCCACTCTCTTTTCTATGTCTTCAAGAAAGATTTACCTAAATTATTAATTAAAAGAAAAGGATCACAATAGTGTGATAGCATTTGCTTGATGTAATTTGGAGATTTTTAAATTTTGATGGGGTCGAATTCACATTAAACTCTGCTTTCCGAACATTTTGGTAAATATTTGATGCATTAGTGAATTAAGGTCTAAAATCCAATAGTGCAGTTTTAAATTACTAATTATTAAGGGGTGTGTACTACAAGTATAGTGCAGGCATACACTTAATTAGTTCTCTTATTTGCTGCTTTTTTTTTTTTGTTGCTTAAAATCTATCATATTCTACAATGAGGGGTGGTATACAGACCCGACTCAATCAAGGGGGTGTTTTGGCACCTCTTTCAAATTCTTTTTACTATAGGCGAGGTTCGAACTCCCGATCTACAGTTTAAAGAGGGATTTAGTCCCTTTTTAATGGTTATTGAGTCAAAACTCGATATTAGCAAAGTGATATTCCATTCCTCTTTTTTTTTTGTTTACTTTAGATTTTAGGTTCAAAATATTGTCAATTTTCAAGAACTTAATTCTTGATCTCACTCATCCTAGAAATTTGAACCAGGTACGGCAGACATTTGTGTGCAAAGGAAGGATTTTTATACCTTTCAGCTTTTACTTCTCCTTTCTTTACCATTTCTCACTAAAAATGAAAAGAACTGAGGAACTTGCACATGCTTTATATTCTTCTTTGGTTATCCATTTGCCACTTTTCAGTTTCACCCCAACCAAAGATAGAGTGTTTTTGTTATCATTATTATTGTAAATAACCAAAGATGGTTTCATAGTCAAACCCTATACAATTTGAATCATTGAATGCTGATGCCAATATACGTTTCTTAGATCTCTGACTAATTAACACATACGTTTTACAAACCTAACATAAAATCTTACACATATAAAATGCTAAGATATAGACAATCATCCAAAGTTTTAGATGCTAATTAGAAGGCATCTTAATAGTAATCACTAGAGTTAAATAATTAACTAAGAAGTCTATCCACATTCAAGTTCCTTGGATTTCTTCTCGAGGTGCAGAATTTTCTGAACTCTATTTTCCATCTCAAAATCATACATGAGCACTAGTTGACCGCTATGTGTAGTACGTGTTAACTGAAACAGAAAAGGAAAACAACAGACTCAAAGGATGCAAAATTTTAACCGTAAAAGAAAAGGGAGAGTAGCAAGTAGTTCACACACTTCTATTACAATCTCTATCGCACATTTTGATGAATAGACCTTTCCACCACGCGAAACAAATATATTAATAGCAGAACAGTAGTATCAGATAGGATTGTAGGACAAACTTTGAGCTTAGGGAAAAGGAAAATGATGAATATTCAGAAGAGATTAAGAAGAAGAATAATAGATGGTTGCATTAGAACGTAAACGACCACAAACTACTACAATCATCTTTTAAAGTATTAAGAAATGTTGGGGATGCACGCAAACGTAGTATCTCATACCATATAGAAGGGTGTAAAATAGACTCGCCACTTGCAATTTGTAAACATTGTATCTCAAGAAAATGTACTTGCATGTTATATAAGCTCGATTGTGTTTTGTCTTTTATTTCCCTCCCTAGATTGTCTTTGAATGGAGTTTCTTTCCTTTTTCTTGGGAAAAAAAGGGGAAAAGAAGTAGAATAACAACGAGCCTGAATTGGCCTTCAATTATAAACAAAGGTTAACAACGGGTAAAATTGGAGTAGTACTTAATCGTTCCTCCTGCATAAATGAGCAGGATAGAATACTTGAGAAAAGAAGAAAAAAATCAACATGGAGAGTATATATATGAAGAAGTTAATTGTTGAGTCACAACCAAAAATTAGAAGTTCCATTTATCTATGTAAGTCCTAATTAATTGCAAGTTAATCTACAAGTAATAGGTAGAAATTAGGATATTTTATGACCACAAAAATAAAGCTAGAATTAGGATGTGAAACTTGTGCAGATGCATCGGTATGTATATATAACCGTGCAGATTTGTTCATGAATAAGGTTTGAGAAAAAGGTACATTCGATGAGTTTGAGTTCAGTGAAGAGCATTGTTTAGAAAGGCAAGTATGAGTTGTTGATGGACAAATGCTCACGTTAAAAGCTTACACCAAAATTTCCTTTTCTTCTTCCCCCAAAGAACGCATACATGAGAAGGGTGAAAAAGAAAGAGTAAAAAGGAATCAAAGTCTCAAACTTAATTTTCTTTTCCTTTCTCATCTTTTTCTCTCCCTCCTTTTTCTTTCCTTTCTCTCATCCATCCTACCCCCACGTCCACAAAAGAAAGTAAGAAACCACATATATCTCACTCTCTCTCCCCATAGCCCCTCAACTGTCATTTTCTCACATATACTTCACACAAAAGAAACAACCATTCACTTCATACCTTGTCATTTCTTCCCTTCTCTCTCCCTCTCCTTCAATCTCAAACTCTCTGCAACTACTCCCCTCAATTCATCATTTAACCCCATCTGAAAAAAAAAACACCCGGAATTCTCTCCCTCAAAATTCAGCAACCCCATATCCTTCAGCTACAAAACCCTCCAAGATTTTGTGACCCTTTTCAGCCCTGAACAAACAACCATCCCACAAGCACAGAACACTTGCACCAGCAAGAAACAAGAAAAGGTAGGGGCTGTCAAGAACAAAGAAAAAGAACAAACAGTTCTTTTTCTTTTTCTTTTTCTTTCCTTGTAGGGTTTGTTTGGCCGGCTGCTTGTTGAATCAAAGATGGAGCTGTTCCCAGCACAACCAGACTTATCCCTACAAATCAGCCCACCAAACAGCAAACCCTCCTCAGGTTGGAGGAGAACAACTGAAGATATGATAGATTTGGGGTTTTGTAAAAGAGCTTTGGACTCAAGAAACTCCTCTATCTCATCATCAATGGCTGCAAAACCTGATACTAGTAACTTTTTTGAACTTTCTTTATCAAACAATCAAAGGATGATTTCTGTTTCTGATCACCATCATCAGCCAAGCTCCAACAATAGCCATTATAACCTCATCCAGAATAGTAGCTCTACTAGTACCACAAACAATAATCTTATTCACTCTTTTCAGCAAAGCCAGCAGTTTCCTCTCCACCATCAGCACCAACTTCACCATCACCACCTCCTCCAACATCAACAGCATCAAGTAGGAGGAGGAGGAGGGGGGCTAAACCACCCCGAATTCGGGTTTTTGCGACCAATAAGAGGAATCCCAGTCTACCAAAACCCTCCTCCTTTTCCATTATTTAATCCAATATTACAGTCTTTAGATGCTAGTACCACTAGTTGTGGAATTCCTTCTCCTACTTCTACTACGACTAGTTCTTCCAATCCCACCTGCTTCCAGTCCCAAGGCGGATGCGGTGGTGGCGGCCTAATGCGGTCGAGGTTTTCATCGAGATTTCCAGCTAAACGGAGCATGAGAGCTCCTAGGATGCGGTGGACAACCACCCTCCACGCTCGTTTTGTTCATGCTGTAGAGCTCTTGGGTGGCCATGAAAGTATGCAACATTAATATCAAGATTAATGCTTTTTTGTCTGTTTAGTGTTTTTCTTCAGCTAATTATAAATTAGTAACAGAAATAGCACTAAACTTGCATATTCATAATCAGTTCATTTCTTGAAATTATGGCCTTTCTTTATAAATTTTTTATGGGGGCAAATACAGGAGCTACGCCCAAGTCAGTTCTTGAGCTAATGGATGTGAAAGATCTCACTTTGGCACATGTTAAATCACATTTACAGGTAATTAAATGGACCGCTTGTTTCATCAAATCAGTTAGTTTTCTCCTAAGAAGGGATTAATTTTTTTGAGTTTTTACTTTCCTTGTAATTTTGTTTTGTTTGATTCCATTTTATGTCAGCATCAGTACTACTTTCGTCCGTGAATTTTCTACTGTAATTTGAAGGTGTTTTAACAACTTTGAACTTGCATTACTGTAACAAAACAGTACAGAATGGTCATAATTTAAACATTTCAAATTCCAATGTTTTCCTGTCTAAAATCCTTAGCACTTCTTTTTCTACTAGATCTGATGCTTCTTCTGCTACCTATCAAGTAGCTTTTTGCTTGGAAGAATGAACCATCCATCCATGATCCATGTAAAGAGAAAAGATCCATAATCAATAATCAATGACTCAGAGAGAGATATATCATATATGAAGGGAGAGAGAGAGAGAGAGAGAGAGAGAGATGAACCAAGTAAGACAAAGCCCGAGGAAAATTAAAAACAGTCAATAGCCAAGCCAAGACAAAGGGTGTACACAGTATGCATCATTACTACTATTATATTTTTGAAAATTCTCCTTTTACCGAAGACAGTGGCGATAAGAAAGTACAAAATGCTATCATGTCTCAATGATATCTCTTTCCCTTTGAGTTTGTAAAACCAAGGTGTACAGAACTGTGGTTAATTCCATACAGAAGTTTTGCACATGGCATACATTCACATATATGTATGTAGTTTTATGTAATAGTACTATGTAGCATGTTTTAGTACATTAAAGCTGGGACACATACAAAAAAGTGCATATTTCACCATACGTACATTGCATTCTTGGAAAATCCCTCTTAGCTTTTCTATTTTGTTCCTTTTCTGTCTTGCAACATTTTAATTATTATGCTTTTCATTTTCTTTTTGGTTGCAGATGTATCGAACGGTGAAGACAACTGATAGAGCAGCACCTTCTTCTGGTTAATCTCCTTGACTTTCTTCCCTATATGCTGATTTTGTAGTGCTAGTGCTAGTGTACAGGATCTTGAGATTGATGCAAACCATCTTTTGTTATTTAGTTGGATACTGTTCTCATTCGTATCGTTCTTCTTATCGTTTAGGACAATCAGATATCTATGAGAACGGGTCATCTGGGGATAATTCTGAGGACTTAATGTTTGAAGTTCAGAACTCAAGAAAACCTGAATTATCGGTGCAACAAGGAAGGCAAAATATGCAGCAAGACAAAGACTTGCATGGTCTTTGGAGTAATTCCTCAAGGTTAGCCACTTAATGATGTTTATTAGAATCAATAAATTTCTATACTTCTTGCTGAGACAGAGAGGAATAAATGGAAGAAACTAAAATTTTTGGAATGTTGAGTTAGGCCAGATCCCCAGAGGCTAGTTTGGAAACGATGGACGAAATATGAAGAAGAATGCGAGCTTCATTAGTATAAATATACTGTCTCTTATCATCTGAGATATGACCAAGTTTAGGGTGGTATTTGCAGCCCTTTAATCTTTGTCAGAACTGCGTTATCCTTTTATAGCTACCTTACATTTTCAATAAATTTTAAGGGCCAAAAGAAGCTTTGGTCAGATGGGCTCAACGAATAAAGCAGAAGTTTGAAAATTTGCTTATTCTAGCTACTTTCATCAGACTGAACTCTTCTGCATTTTCTTGTGTCATTGTGTGCGAGGATAAGTAAAAGAATCCAAAATTACTTTAAGGCTTCTCAGAAAAGCCGATTCAAAGTTTTGTTTGGATTGAGGGACTTCATTACTCTTGCTAAAAAAGATATGCTAATAAGTGCAATTCTTTTCCCATCTCAACATTTGTCTGTGCGTGTTCTGCGTGTGATTTTGTTCGTGTGCCAGCGCAAACATAAAGAACATAATCCTAGAAGATGCTAACAAAAAGAAGATGAGGAAAATAAGCCCACTTCTTTGTTCTGTCTGTCGACAATCAGGTTTAACACAGAAACTCCATCATGGTTTAGTAATCTCTTTCTTTACAGTTGTTGAAACATGAAAAGTAAGTGCAGCAAGGGGAAGAAAACGCACACATCCTAGACATTAAAAACATTTGAATTCAATTTGGCTTAAATCAACCTAAAAATGGACATATCTCTTTCCTCCAGATCTTGTGGGCTCAGACAAGGGCATTTCAGTGGGGCCATAGCTAAGGAACTTAGTGTCAAAGCTAAACACTGAGTGATGGCCCATCTGTAGAAAAATCTTGGTGCCAAAGCTTTACTACTAGTCTTTTTGAAACTTCCTTGAAGTCTGTTTCATTTAGCATAATATGCGGTATCACATGGGTGGGTTCAACCTTTTTTTTTTTGGGTTTCCTCCCTATCGTCACAGAATATAAAGTGAAGAAGTATAAATGATTCCCTCAAAAAAGAAGTATAAATGAGACAGTAAAAGATAGCCATCTTTTTCTTAGCAGTTTACTTTTTCTCCCTTCTGCATGGCTTCCACTGATAGGAAATATTCTCTCAATTGCATTGTTTTGTAGCAGGGAAGCTTGGCTGCATGGCAAAATGAGGGATTCTTTAGGCAACATACCATCTCTTGAGGTACTAAACGCAACTAATCTAGAATATTGGCCTTTTCATATTCTCTTTCTCCCCAAAAGTTTTCTAATGCTGGTCTACGCTTTAGTCACCGGTCATTAGTCATTACCATTTGAATATTTACTGAATAAGCACATAGAAATGTTTGTGTTTGTGGACTTGCTCGAGGAAGATTGAGTCCTTCACCTTTGTGTGTTGTGTCACATGTAATCTAAGGATGTGAAATTTACATGACAGATACATTCATGGGAATAAGGAGGAAATTTACATGTTAGAGTCATCTGGCATCATATGCGATTACAGTATAAAGTGGAATAAGAAGGAAAAAAAGGCTTGCTTTTGTAAAGTTGTGCAGGCCATTTTGCTATATCTGAGGTTCAAGGAATTTTGTAATATGTAATCCAAAAGAAAGGAACCAGCACCCCAAAAAAATGTATTTTCTTTTAGTAGCTTTAGTCAAAGGATGGAATACAACTAAAGTGGATTGTCTTCCTCAACATGCTATAACCTTAATACCTCGTACTTGATCACTAAAACACTGCACCAATGAGTGAAATATGATGGACACAACCAAACATTCAAATACACTATGCCCAATTAACGTACTGTCTCTATTGTTTTCAACCACATGAATTTAATTAACCTTTTATCCCTATTGAAAGCCCACTTGCCTGTTCTCAAAAAAGAAACAAATCTTGCACTGATTGAGTACATAAGAAAGTTGCATAAAAATGTGCATGAGACATGCATTTTAAGAGGGGCAACAGGCTTTATGGTTTCTTGTTGCAGTATCGCACCTTGATAAATATTCCCTTATTCTTTTAAGTCAAATTTGTACTTGGATCCCCGCAAACATATTGTACACACATCCCTCATGTTACCTGTTTTTAGCTAAATTGTTGAGCTTCTTTTTGAGCATTTTTATAACAAGATATGCATATTTTGGTGTGAAAATCCAGAAGGACATCGAACCAAAGTGCTCAAGCTATGACAGATTATCAGATGTGAGCTCATCAAGCTTATCAGAGTCAAGCCCCAAGAAACCCAATCTGGAGTTCACCTTGGGCAGGCCACACTGATCAAGATCTCTGCGTGGATAGTACTACTCATTTTGAAATGATTATTGCTTCTGAAAGAGGGAAGCTGGTGAGGTTGAAGAGATTCGGGTGCCCACTCAGAAAATCAGCAGTGAGAAAAGAAAGTTTGTAGTAGAAAAGAAAAGAAAAGAAAAGGAGAAGAAAGTAAAGGAAAAAAGAGGCCTAAAGAAAGACAAGGAGACAACAAAGACAGAAAGCAACAAAAGGAGAAGGCAAAGAGAAAGAGAGAGAGAGAGAGAGAGAGAATTCAAGGGTGGTATCAAAAAGCATGTCCTAATTATCCTATCAATCTGTGAGCTCGAAATCATCATATTATATTGCTTAAGTAAATATGTTCATTATCATCATGATCATCATCAGTCCTAGCTGATTGATTTTTGTATTATGATGCACTTTTATGGGGGCAAAAAAAGAGAAAAAGGAAAGAGGTATGTTTTTGGGGGACTTTTAAGTCTTTTAATCAGGGAAAAAGTGATCCTTGGTAATTGTATGGGGCACTTTGTACTCAAGAAAAAGAAGGTATAATTTTACCAAATGAGTTGGAGCATACTCTATAATCTATTCGTTCCTAGGCATTGACACATGCCTTTTCACTTTCCCAACAAAGGAAATGAAAGAAAAGATGACACGAACTGGTAAAAAGGAACTGAAAAAATGTAAGGGGAAAAAGAATTGGGAAATAACAAAAGGAAAAAGACAAGGCGCAAACTATGAAAAACAATATCTGCATGCCCTTTTTTATGCTCACTATGTGGGGATTTGGATTGTGATTCTGCTTTTTGTTGGCTATACAAAACACGAATATGTTGCTTTATTTGACAGAGATGGAAAACATTTGTCAAGAATAGGCATATGCATGAGCTATTAGGCATGTATCTGTCTGCCTGGTATAAGTATTTCTATTTCCTCCCGGCCATTTTAGTCTCCAAAGTTAGCATAATTTACAGGCTATTGTACTAGTGAATGGTCACCAAGTGTGATCAGTAAACTTGGACTTGCTGACTGGATTAGAGTACACACTTAGTTCCCATTTCAATTGAAGATCGATAGGGTTCATAAGTTTAGGTTCCTCTTACATATCTGCAAAAATAAATTACTTTGAGAAGGATTGACTATTTGAATTAGACATCAATTTTTGTCATTATATCACATTTTGATTGCACCACCTAAATAGAACATGTTATCAAATGACAAAATATTTCGGGCACATTTTAGCATGTTGAATTGCATTGTGAAGATGGAATTAGTTAGTGGTAAACCTGCATAATCTTTTAGAGTTCATTTAATTTGTGGATTTAAAAGTATGGATTAGTAAATTGAGAGGATACAAATGCTAAGAGTAATAGCACAAATTGAGTATTAATTCATATTATCAGTATTTCCAAGATATCACTCCTCCCCACTCATTAGTATTACTATTATCACAATTGACGACTTAAATTTTACTCAGCTTTGGAATTGTTGCTTTTCCATGCCACTAATCTTCTCATGGTTGACTTTTCATGGTTAAATTTCCGAGTTTTAGGAACTTAATCTTATTTGATTTCTCAATTTTGTCCAGCATTTAGAGTCTATATACTACAGCCTTTTGTATAAAACTTAATTTTGCTCAAGAAATTTCTTTACCAAATAAAAAAAAAGTATATTCATTGTTAATGGCACAAAAAGATCTGTTTGGCCATGAAATGAAAAGATAATTGGACAATTTTAGTGAGAGGAAGGGAGTATACTATATATGTATATGTTTGACGGGGATCATTCATACTATTTGTGTCAAAACTGGTCTCTAGGTAATGATTGATTAGCAATTTAAGTATAAACAGTAGATACAGATGGAAAGTAGTGACTTCTTCCGTTTAACTCTGCCGACGAAAAAAATGAATAGGACAATATTTCTGGAAAAAAAAAAAGTTTAATGACTTGACATCAAGATTTCCCGCATTGTATAACATTTGGAGAAAAACATACAGTTACTCTAAGTTTTAAATTATGAAGGTATAAAAAATCCAGCCATGAAATCTGCAACTTGACGCATCGATTTTCCCAAGAAAGACAAAAGATACAGTAATGAATGAAAAGATAAAGCAAAAAGTAGCAGAAATTAATGATATGCATGTAGTAATAAGCAGAGAGTCACCAAAAATGAAAAATCCAGTATGTAAGCCAAGAAATCTAACTCTGATCCAAAAGATTAAATTATTAGGTCTCGTACCCTTACTTACATATTAACCGCTCCTTCTCATCTCTCAAACTAACGTGAGACACAATCCTTTCGTGTCCACTTTAATACTCAATGCAAGTCCACCTTTATCACCAAGGTCACATCTTCTCTCAAACGTGGATCCGCTCTTCTTCAACATCCAAACTGCATTCTGGATCTCTGCCAACCTTTGGCTTCTTGGTCTAACCCAACCGAACCCCCTGCCAAACCCATGGCACACTGGTCCAACACCAACCAAACTCCTTGGCACTTCGGTCCACCATCAAGAAGAGAATTTTCACCGATCCAACACCAAGAAGAATCCACTTGTTCATGAATAGCTCAGTCTCATAACCTGAAACTCTGATACCAATTTGATAGGGGAGAAACATCTCGAGAGAGTCCACCAAAGAGTCTAATATGTAAGTCAGGAACTTAACTCTAAGCCAAAAGCTTAAGCTATTTGGTCTTGGGCTCTTACTTACATAATAACAGTTCTTTCTCCATCTCTCGGACCATCGTGGGACATAACCCTTTACTCATGAATCTAACAATAATAAGTAAAAAAAAAAGAATAATATTAAGTAGATTTATTGCCCTCCAAATATTCTCAAGCTATGAGTAATTTATATTCTTCGACTGATTGATAGATTCTGCATATTTGCTTGCAAGAAAGTTTCACTGTACGTCTGAATCGATGCTATATCTTCTTTTCCAATGGAAATTCCGTATTCATGTTTTCAGGACAAGCCCACAAGTACAATTATATAAAGCAACTCGGACACACTATTTTACTTTTCCTGCTTCTTCTTCTTTTCTGACTTTTGTTTTTTTTCTTTATTTTTGGGAGCAAATTACAATTATCTGTTGATATTAAGGTTGAATCTGAAGTTCATCTCTTGGTTATTTTAATAGTGAGGTTTCATGTCCCCTCAATCTTATTCTCCTTTTTTCTTGAATAATAAATCATTAAGGGACCACACCAAAACCACGAAATTAATTTCCGATGACTAAAAGAACCAAAGAAAACCAAAAAGTCATTGATGTTCTCATAGCATCAAATTTCTGGATCTAATTAACCTCGACTAAATTTTCCAAACATTAATGCACCTTAAAAAAACAAATTTTAAAAAAAAATAAATAAAAGAAGCAAAGTATGGAAAGAGGGTAAGTAGTAGTATTATTTCTGGCGTGAGCGTGCAAGAAAGCAGGCTGGCCACTGGCCAGTCAGCTGTTTCTGGGAGAAATTAACGGATGGGAATTAAATAGGAAGAATGTATGAAAAGGGCTACAGCTACCTAACTAGTAACCATCAAAAGTCTCTCAAGGAAATGGTTTAGAATTTAGGTAACATTTAATGAGAGACGACTAAAGAATAGTGAAGCATCAAAGCAGAAGTTACAGAAAACGTCCTTCTGTGTTGTGTGAGTTCTCAATTCTCACCAATTGGCAATAGAGACTGATGGTGCATGTGGTGAACTCTCTTTGTGGACAAAGTACATTGAAAATGTCTGTGGCACATTTCAGGCCAAAGAATGTTGATGAATGAGTGAAGAAGAAGGCAAAAAAACATGCTCTAGTAGTACAAGCTAATTGGGTTGCAATTGATAGGTCAGGCCAAGGCTCCATTCTTGATAGCTTCAGTCTCTTTCTTGATGTTAGACTACACCAAATAGCTATAGGACCAGAGCTGTAATTACCAATTTTCATAATGAATAGACTTTTGATAATCACCATTAATGTGAAGCTCTGTAGTAGATGAAGGAAGAACCAATTTGAGGAATTATTGGTATAGGTTTTGAGCCCTGCTTTTCAAATCCATGACCCAAGAAGTGTCCTTTCAACATGTATTGTATCCATACCACACACTATTCAACTTACGACGCACCAAAGGTACAGATATTCTACTTTCTATACTTGAATCATAGAAGTGAATGTTGATTAGCATGAACAATCCATTGGAAAAGAAGAACTTTCCGGCCCCTTCCTCCACCCCAAATCCCAGCCCAAAGGGGAGAAAACAAAACAGATAATCCAAAGGGCCACCATGAAAAGGGAAGAAATTAGTCTATTCTTTGAGTATTTCTTTCAACTCGTTGAAAGTGTTTAGAGAACGTTTTGAAAAAAAAAAAAAAAAAAAGTAACAGTAAATTCAACACAAGTACGACTGCTATGTGATTTTTTTCTTTCTGAATCAAGAATGTGACCAGATGCTTATGAAATAAAAATGTGTTTGAAAATTTTAAACTTGACAGAAAAACGTCAAACACTAATAATAATGTTAACGGAATGGAACTGGTGGTCTCAGCATCTTCCAAGGCATGAGCAGGGGAAGTGGGCACGGGAGCATGATGATACAATGAGCAGGAAATGAGAATAGGACGATGCTGAGCGCTACCACATTTAATGTGAAAAAGGAAGGCTGAAATAATTCTCTGATTAGTCACTGCTGCTTGACACTTGACAGCAAGCTTCTTAGGTGGTTTCTGGGTGTTTTTATATGCATTCAACTCCAAAGGAGGGTGATCACAAGACTAGCAGTTTCACAGTTCCACTAAGTTATAAAGGCTTGGGACAAATGAATGGGAACAAAATTCAGATATACTAACACATAAAAGTGGAAAATGTTTCAGTCGGAATGTTTTGGTGTAGTAACTAAGGTTGAAGAATTAGAGATCTCGATTTCAAATACATCATCTCTTTCTACGCTTCTTAAATCCCACTCTTCCCTTGTTATTTATATTTTTTTTTTAGAAAAAAATTGGAATTTTTTTTTGCTTTCTATTTGTGGTAGTACCAAGTCAGGTTTGGACTTCAAATTTCAGACTAAAATGACTATTATTATTTTCTTGAACTAAGGAAAAAAGTGTTGGTTTTCCAAAAATTGTACGACTGAAAAAAACTAGTCCTACACCACAGGTTCCACTTGTACAATTACGACATTTCTTTGTCTCATTTTTTCAAGTAATAACAATGACAACTCAAAAGGTGATACTACACATTTATACAAATATGGTATGTGATGGATGGACATGCCTCAACCAGAAGGTATTAAGTGCTTAAAATTGCTACGTGGAGCATTAATACTTAATGTGGCACTTAACTTTTTAAGTAGGACAACTTAGTTCGTAGCGTACTACAACTTAAAATAGGGTTTGGCTATCATAGGGTAGCATTAAGAGTATTTACAGTTTTACAAGAGGATATATATATATATATATATATATATATATATATATATATATTTCAGAAGCCGCTCCTAAGATTTTCAACAATTTCATTCGACTCTTTTGAGGTTTATATAATTACGGAGACTTCCCTTGGTATAATATAAAGACAACAATATCCTTCA